AATGGAATAAAAAATACTATGGAAATATTTTGATCATTGGGCAAAATCACAGAGCGCTATATATGCACCTACAAATTAATTGGAATCAACAGGAATGTTGTATTTTACGGTCATTGACAGGCTCTGACTCCTAGGCAATAAGAAGTAAAATTAGAAGTATGTGTGCAAATGTCTTACTTTCAGACTACTATAACAAAAATACCATTGACTGGGAGGTTTAAGCAGCAAACACTTAATTTCTCACAGTTTTGAAGGCTGGAAAGTCCAAGGTCAAGGCACCAGCAGATCCGGCGTCTGGTGAGGGCCTACTTCCTAGCCTTCTTGTATCCTCACATGGCCAAGAGAGCATAACGGTCCCTTTCTCTTCTGATAAGAACACTGATAACCACATGACCATCCTTAAGACCTCATCTAAACCTATTTACCTCCTAAAGGCCCCACCTCCTACTACCATGCCATTGGGGGTTAACACTTCAACACAGAAATTTGGGGAGGAAGCAAACATGCAATCCGTAGCAGTACAAGAGTGATTTTATACTGGGCTCTGAAATACCATCTTGGTCCACAGCCCTTCACCACAGTTTACCAGAAAAATTCTTCTTTCTCTGTTAGATATAGTAGGCTTTTCATAAATTTTTCATTTGAAGAATGAATTTCTCAGCCTAGATCCCACTGAAAAATACAAAACAAACAGACAAAAAAAGGATGAATTCCTCTTTTATTTAAAATTTGATCTACAGATTTGGTCAACGTGATTTAGTGAATGCAAACTTCATTATTCAATACACGTGTAAGAAAATTTCCTATGTACTTTCCCAGGTTCTTTGATTACTAGAAATAAAATTCATTGAAGAAGAAACTGTTCATGTACAAGCTCCACTTGAAGCTTATAAATGATTTGACCTAAAAATTAAAGATTTAAATAGTACATAGAGACAAATATTTGGTTGTTGGGCACAATTTGCTCACCTACTTTATAAGAAATCCCTGGACTTGCTGTATATTATAAATTTGTCATCAGAAAAATCTGCTGTTTTATTGTTTTGACTGTTAATTTGATATTGCATCTAAACAACTTCTTTTTCAGCATATGCTTCTATAATTTCTTACTAATATTATTTGCTAATATTGCTATACATTCGGTATTGTTTCTAAGAAAGATAAATTTTACAAATTAAATACCTAGGCTTCGTTCTCAGTCAGATTTTTAAAAAATCTGTTAGTCTATACCTGGTTTTTTGTTATGCACATATATTATTAGCCTTTAATAGAAATACACATTTCCTCTATACCTACTCATTTGCTTCTTTGATATGTGGAGACCCTTCTGCTCCCTTCACAGTTAAAGGAAAAAGATTGTTGCTAATAAGTATTTGATCTTATAATCACTATGAGAAAGCAAGCTTTACACATGTAGATTCATACAAGGCAGCAGAACCTGTTAGTTAAAGGCACAGCTTTTAAAACCAATCTGCCTATATGGTATCACTTACCTGGTGATATTACTTACTGGCTGTTTGACTTTAAAATGGCTGGTTACTCTGTCAGTGCCATTGTTTTCTCCACTGTAAAATGAGGATAGTCATAGTACCTACTTCGTAGGATTGTTGCTAATACTAAATTAGTTATTGCATACAAAAGATTAGAGTAGCACCTGGCACCAAGTAAGTGATATTTAAGGTTTTTGTTTTTTTAAATCATTATTTGATTGATACATATACTGTAAAAAGATAATATGAAGAAATTCCTTGCCCTTTAAATGGTCAGGAGTTTTTTTGTTTATTTGTTTGTTTGTTTTGTATAACAATCTCAAAAATCTCGTCAGATTACAACAACCATGAAATGTCGTGCTCAGAGGTCTGCAGGCTTCCTGGGACTAGGTTTATCTAGGCTGGGTGGCAGCCGGAAGGTAGTCCTTCAGGCTGCAGGTTGGGTTTATGCATGTTTTTCCTGTGAAAGAGCCAAGGAACACAATAAGGCCCCTCCTGAGTCACATTTGCTGCTAAGGCATGGCCAAGGCCACAGTCAGCTCCACCTACTCAACTGCACTGTAAAATCATATGGCAGAGGGAGGGAGTAAAGAATTGGGAACCATAATCCAAACTCCTGCCTATGGATCAGGGAGGTTTTCATCCAGAATTCTCTAAAAATATTGAATTTTAAGTTAACACATGCCCATTGGCATTGGGTGGATTAAACTAACCTTCCCCATTACCTTTTAATGTTAATTATAGAGAACATAATTTAACCCATTAAAAATAAAAAATAATGTAATTTTTCATATGAAATATTGTGTTATAATGTCATCTTTTTGAAAATTATTGATTTATTATAATGACCAAACCTATTGACTTTTAAAAACTAATCTTGACCTACAAGATGGAAGACAATTTGGTACTCAGACCATAAACTAAAATGTCTTCATGGACCATGCAGATGACATA